AATGTCTGGGGATATCATGAGCTTATGAGGAGAGTACGGGCTACTGAGGTTGTGGAGGAGGCTAAGGAGGCGACAGCTGAATTGCCGGTAGGACAGCCCGTAGGCTCAGGAGTGAGGGAGGAGGATGATCGGATAACCGCGATGCAAACCCAGATACAGGAGTTAACCAAGATGATAGCCTCCTGGTCAGCAGCAAGTGACCCACCCCTGAATGGGGGTTAGGTTGGAATAATTGATGGGAGGATGGGACCGCCCATCTGGGATAACAATTCAATGAGATCAGTGGTTTGTTATAATTGTGGGGGTGTGGGTCATTATAAGCGTGCATGCCCAAAGTTGCATAGAAGATCAGGGAACCCAGTGCATTCGGGAAACTGTCAAGGGCCCCGGTGAAGGAGCTAGCTGGGTGCCCGGAGTTATCAGTCAGCCCCAGTGAGAGAGGGTTCTTTAGGGAACCCTCGGCAAATATGAGAACAATGGGGGTATCCCCTCCGATAAGAAATCCTCATCCCCTTGAAGGGAGGAAGGCTAAAGCCATGGTTCCTCAACAGTTGGTGGGTCCTTCCCCGGTGGTGTCGGTGCAGGTGGAAGGTATTTATACGAAGGCTCTTTTGGATTCAGGTGCGCAGGTGACATTATTATATAGGGATTTTTATGATAAGTATTTAGCGTATATGCCCATACAGGATTTGGGTGATTTGAAGATTTGTGGTATTGGTACGGAAAAGTTCCCCTACGATGGATGTTTGCCTGTACGGCTGACGTTTGGACCCTCTGTTGCTGGGCATACGGAGACCTTGGATACTTTGGCTATCATATGTGCTCGCCCTCCGGGCGTTAGCCAGGGCTCACTGATTGTAAGGACTAACACCAGTTTAGTTAGGCGGTTGCTTACCCCAGTCATTCCATTGGGAAATGATCCGATAGTGAGGGATGTTCACCCTGCGCTGCAGACAGTATGTCAGGGTATAGTGCGGGAGCAGCAGGCCCCTGTAGAGGGAGTGGGGCGGTTATGGAAATTCGATAAGAAAAAGAGGGTAATACAACCTGGGGAGGTGGT